TTCTGGTGCTTTTAGTTTTTGCTTTCTGGAATTGAATAAATAGAGTTCATTTATATCTGAATTTGTGATATTGATTAACTGATGCATTAGGTGCCACAGACATCCGCTCTCCTGGTTTTCTAAGCAAATGCCTAAATTGCTTCTGAATAATGTAGGTACCATATAACTTAATTAATTTATTTTGGCGCATCAGATGATATGTTATGGAGTAAGACTATATTTCGCTTCTTTCTCAAATCTGTTTAAAGCACTGGCGGAGCTAATGGGGCTGAAGGGCCTAAGGCCTCTTCTAAGCTCTTGTAAAATTAGTAGTTTAGTCCTCTTCTAAGCTCTTGGGTTCCTCGCGAACCCAGCTCGTGGGTTCCTCGCGAACCTAGCTCGTGGGTTCGCACCCAGGAGCCTGGGTTCGCACACAGGAGCCTTTTTCTCCTTCATATTAACACTGGTTGGTTCATTTTGTTTGTTCGTTATGGCTGCCTTTTAGGTTTTGCGAACCCAGGCTCTTGGGTTTGCCTGAAGGTAAAAAAAAAAAAAAGAAAAAAAAAGGCTGGAAGAAGAAGAAGAAGCCGAGGAAGAAGATGAGGGTATATCAGTAATTAAAAGTAAAAAATTTAGCATGTTATCAATTTTTGCCACGTTGGATTTTCCACGTAATTTAATAAAAAAAAGGAATGAGTGTTTCCATTAATTAACCTGCCACATCAGTCAAAATTTAACGGAAGAACTAAAAAGGGGCCGGATTTATGAACAATAAAGACCAAAAAGGGGATTTTTTCTATAGGGACCAAAAAAGGGCTTTTTCCTATGGTAGAGGGACCAAAAATGGCATTTAACCAACCCAGATGTAGGTTTCCTCCCCCCATTCAACCTTATGAAACATTACCTGCTCATCCTAAACGTCAGAAAAAAAAAAATTCTTCTTTTTCCCTGCTCATCCTTTTTCTTTTCTTATTCTTTCTCTCTTTTCTCTCCTCTTCTTCCTCTCTAGATCTGGGTTTGAGAAAAACCCAGATCTAGAATGCGCCTCATCTCTAAAACCTAACATGTCCAACAACCTGGTACCCTTTTTGGTGGCGTGTATAATCTCCTCCATCAACATTAGATTCCTCTCATTCAACCTTATGAAACATTACAGAACCAGTAATTGGGTCGAGCAGACCCGGACGCTGTATCCAAATTTGGGCGTGGAGAAGCAGAAACTCAAAGAAGCATATCGGAGCATGGTAGAACAATAAACAAGCAGAAGAGCAAACACAAATGGGAAATGAGCAGATAGATAAAAGGGAGAAATAGAAGACTACCCGCGAGGTTCCAAGGCTCGTGCTTGTAGATATCGACCTCACCAATGGCATTAAACCTCACGGGTTTAGACAAAATCTTCCTCTTGAGGTAGTTGTTGACCAGCTCTTCATCAATCGGGTGGAATCGAAATCTTGGTGCAAGAGTTGTCGCTGCTGTGGTCCTTATCTTCCCATTGGCCGTGGTGACAATTGTCGAATTGCTCTCGCGACCCATCACAGAATCCTTAGCAAAGACTCGATTCGGAGCCTAGATTTTGTGGGGAAAGAAAAGAGAAATGAAAAGGTGAAGTGGGGCTTGATTGATGGGGAAGAAACAACTAGTGGGTACTTGCGATTGCAAGAAATTTGTGTTGAAGTTAAAACGGCCAAAAAAGCCAGAGGACAAATTGGTGACCATTTTTGTGTGTTTAAATCCTGTCTAGTAATAAAAAATTTTGGCAAAAAATCTATGCCTTTTCTGGTAAGATTTTTTTTTTCCTTTTTTTTTTTTTAAGCAATGGAAGACAGGGATAAGCACTTTGCTAATTACAACGACTAAGAAATTTTGCTTCTCCACGCTCGGATTTCTTTCTGCAAACTCCAAATCTTGTACCAGAGCGTATCAAAACCCTAACACTACAATTTTTCTTTTTTACGGTTAGATTTTTGTATTGTCACTTTCATTGTTCTTTAACTAGAGTTTTCTATTAGATATAGTTTTGATTTATCAAGTTAAGATTCAGACTTTCAGTAGGAAATAGAAGTCAACATGGAAGATGGAGAGGACAACGCATTGCAGCATTCGGGCACTCAAAGAACACGTTCACAAGTAGAGTAATTTGAGTGTCGAAGAAGAAGAAGAAGACACGAGTTTCAGTACAAGATTCGGAGTTAGCAGAGCAGAATTTGAGTGCGATGTTTAAGAAAAACCCAGATTTGGGTTTTTCTCAAACCCAGATCTGGAGGGGAAGAAGAAGGGAGAAGAGAGAGAGAAAGAAGAAGGATGAGTAGGGAAAAAGAAGAAATTTTATTTTTAAATTAAATAAAAATGCCAACTCATAAAAAAAGATGAGCAGGTAAAAAGAAGAATTTTTTTTTTCTGACGTTTAGGATGAGCAGGTAATGTTTCATAAGGTTGAATGGGGGGAGGAAACCTAGATTTGGGTTTGAGAGAGAACCTAGATCTGGGTTTGCAGAGGTAAGGGAAAAGGAAAGGTAAAGGAGAAAGAGTGAAAGAGGAAAACGAGATGATGTCGATGAAAAAAATATATATCATTAATTTTAAATAAATAAAAAATGCCAACTCATAAAAAAATTAGCCAACTATGGTTTTTTTTTTTTTTTCATGTCATTGATTAAAAAAGAAAAGAATTAATTTGCTGGCATTTTAACGTGCCACTTGTCATTTAACTGACGGAAGGACCATTTTGGTACCAAAAATGAAAGTTTAAGTATAATTTTAATATTTTTTAAAGGTGAAAGACGATTTTGGTGCCAAAGTGAAAAGTTGAGGGATCAAAATGGTACTTCAACCTACTTTTTTCGAAACCAGAATATTTCATTTTTCATCCCTTATGATTATGTAACAATCCACAATCCATGATCAATGATGCTCAATCATCAATCCACAATCCACAATCCACAATCCATAATCCACAATTCATAGATCCCAGGTCTATCACAATACCAACAACTCAACCCTCACAAAGGTGAATCATATAACCAGGACAAATAAAAGAAACCGTTCCAAATATAACCATTTCAATAATATTGAAGAAAAATAAATTTAAATTAGCCACCTCCACGTGGCTATAATTTCTTCTCAAACTTAAATAAAAATATTATACTTGGTTCACAAATTATCTCATTTCATCATTAAAAATAAAAAGTCATTCTCTAAAAATAAATAAATAAATAAACAAATAGATAAATAAATAAAAACTAAATAAACCGATTTAAATCCATCAATTTGCTTTAAAACACTGAACGGTATAACTACTTACTTCAATAACTATCATTCAAAATATAATTACCACACAGCTACTAGAGACCTAAATGAACATCAAGCATACATAATTCAATCACCAAGTATACGTAATTCAATCACCAAGTAAAATTTAACCTTTGCTTATTAAGCATCTATATGATAAAATTCTATAAGCATGCCATTGTTGTCCTATTCCTCAAACCCAAATATTCCAACCCACTATTAGAAACTAAGCACCTAATAAATAATTTCTTCTTTAAAAGTTCCTTACGTCACCGCCCAAATTCACAATCTTTTTATCAATACCAAAATCCAGTTGCTACAGTAAAATCAATCTTCCAACCATGCTTCTACCCTCTTCATTCCAAATTCCTACATACTTCAAGCTTTAGAAGATAATTTATCTTGGATTTAGTCTAGTATGACCAAATTCCTAAAGTTCAGTTCCACCTTGCAGGCAAGAGAAAAAGACGATCCTATTCGCCAGAAAAGAAAGAAAATTGGAACTGCCGAATTGAGTCTGATTTGGGTTTTCACAAAAAGAAAATATTGTTAATTGGTCCCTAAGCTTTAATTATAAGGTTTTAGTCCCTGAGTTCCTTATCTCATTATAATTTTAATCCCAAATTTAATCTTATCACATATACACCCTCTAAGAGCTTAAATAATTTATTTAAATTTTAAGTAAGAAATCTTTGAGTATTACACATCCTTTCTTCGACGGATGATGTTATCGTTCCATCCAAACTTAACAAAGTATGTATGTTGTAGACCAGACCCTCATGACTTGGACATGAAATGGTAATGGAGAAGCCTATGTGATAAAGAAAATTATTTAGTGATAATTTTTTTATTATTTTTATATAATTTTATATATTATTTATATGATTAATTTTTTACAATTTATTTAAAATTTATAATATTTAATTATTTATTTATTTAATAACATATGAAAATTATGTAAAAAATTGGTTAAAACCCCTTTTTGGTCCCTGAACTATTGTACGGACCCCCGATTTGGTCCCTGAACTAAAAAAATCCCTGATTTGGTCCCTACTGTTTACCATTTTTACCCC